TGCCTGCTACAAGGAGCTCAAGCAGGACCTGGAGGCGCAAAGCCTGCAAGTCTCCACCAAAAAGACGGTCTTTGTGTGCTCCAGTCAAGCTGCTGGCAAGGCAGTAGAGGCCCTGGCTGGGCCTGATGGTCCCAAGGTTGTTGGAGTTGGCAAGGACCTTGGCCTGGATTCTGCAGCCGGGGCCAGGCGCAGGATCACCACCACTAAAGCCAGACACCAAAAAGGGGCCCGCAGGGCAGCCCAGCTCCAATCTTTGAAAATCGGCAAAGTTGGCATCAAGGTGCGGCTCTACAAAGGATCCATCCTTTCCTCGGCCCTATATGGGCATGAAGGTGTTGGTGTTGCCCCCAAGAGACGGAAGTGGTTCAGGGGGCTTCTGGCACAGGTGCTGGGCCGACCAAACAATGCCAGCATAGGAGCCACCCTGGACTTTCATGGCAACAAGGTCGAGGACCCTTGGTACACAATCTTGGCCCAGCATTTCAAGGCCGTTCGCCGGCTTTTGCTGCAGTGGCCGGAACAGGACTTCGACAGAATCCAGCAAGGCTGGAACCGCCTGGAGGTGTGGCTAAAAGAGGCTGAGCACCCCTGGAAAAGGGCGGCTGGACCGCTTGGTGCCTGTTGGTGCTACTTGGATGAAATGGGATGGAAGCCGCTCAGCGTTCATCAGTGGACAATCGGGTCCAAAACCTATGACATCCTGCAGGCAGCTGAGTTCCATGAGGTCCTTTTCCTTGCCAAAAGATGGGTTAATGCCACCCGGCACCAAACCTGGGCAGCGATCGATGGGGGTCGAGGCCTTGAAACTGGCCCGGATTGGACCATGCCAAGGAAAATCCTGAAGAAGGCCGACAGCCTCACAGGAAAAGCCTTGAAGTCCATTTGGCAAGGAGCGGTCAGGGCGTCACCGCATGCCACCTGCCAAAGATGTGGAGTGCCGGCCACCAGAAGGCATGTTTTGTGGGACTGCCAATGGTGGAAAGAGCATGGTGAGACCGAACCGGCATGGTGGCCCTCCAGAGAGGATCCAGACTATCCAGATTGCCTTTGGGACTTTGGGCTCCTCCCAAGGGACCCTTCTTGGCCGGAATGCCAACATGCTCAAGATGAGGCCATTGAGCTAAAAGGCGTTTTGGCAGAAGGGGGGTCCGTCCCACCCGAAGCCTTTGCGGCCACGGATGCAACAGGGGGGTCTGAAAACGACCAGAGAACGCGAGAAGTGGTATGGGGTGTTACCTTCTACATCTGGAAGGAGGGCCAACCTCACTGGATTGGCTCAGCCACGGGACTGCTCAAGAATGAGCAAAGCGTCTATCGTGGGGAGGCCAGGGCCATTCATTTCGCGGCGCAGCAGCTCCAACCCGGGGCAGATGTCACAAGTGATTGCAAAGGCGCGGTGGTGAGAAGCCGCCGCGGCACCACAACTAAAGGCCGCCATCTTGACATCTTTGGTACGGCCCCCACGGAGCAGCTGGATCTGCATTGGGTCCCCTCTCACCTTACAGCTTCCGAATTTTTGGAGCAAGTCGGGCCGGGCCAAGAATGGCGCAGAGTCATCAATGATGAAGTCGATCGCCTTGTTGGGGCGAGGGCAAACACAAAAGAGGCGAAAGACCGAGCAACTGCCCTCAAGCAATCTGATGCGCTGGCAGAGTCGGTTGCACTTTTCCTGGGAAGGCGCATGCAAGCATTGATGGGGTATGACAAAGATCAAGGCCCACAGGTTGTGTACCCCAGGAAGGCGGGCGAGGAAAAATCGGCAGAGTCGTCCAGCCCCTCGACCAGCCGGTCTTCGTTTCAAAAGAGAAGACGAACCAAGAAAGGCAAAACCCCACCGGCCCACGGGGGGGAGAAAGGCAAGAAGGCCCAGCCCGCCGAGGAAACACCCATACCCACTGGGGCTCCAGAGCAATCCGGCGGAGAAGCTGACGAGGCAGGCCAGCTCTCTTCCCATGGGCCGCCGAAGGCCATTTCAAGGCCAGAGGGGGGGGCCAACGAACCCCAACCCGCAACAAAGGGAGAGATGCCAAAGATGGCAACGGAGAGCAGATGCGGGGAAGCAGGGGCCGCGGACCTTCCTACCACCCAGTTGCCGCCTGAGGCCAATAAGAGGCAAATCTTGTCGGCCTTGGTGGCAGGCCAAATCGACACTAAGGGGCACAGGTTCGTCAAGGGTGGCACGTCTGCAAACAACCTGCAGATCAAGTGCGAGGAATGTGGCTTGTGGATTCAACAGGTCGATACCAAGCCCAATTTCAATAGGAAAGTTGCCAACTATTGCAAGGACCACCCCCTAAGTGTCCCTTCTCCGGAGTGGAAGTGGCATGATTCGCATGCCATGTGCAATGAAGGTTGCAGGTGGAAGTGCTCTCAGTGTCATAGTGTGCAGCCAGTTGGAGGCCTCACACCTGCAGTTCTTGAACGCTTTTGTGCACATGGTAAGCATGGTTTGCAGCGTAAGCGTGCGGCACGTAACACACTTGCAGCTGCTGGTACTCCTTCTGTGAAGCAGTTTTTCGCAAAGCCTCTTCCCTAGCGCGGCCACAGGTCCAAGATGGGAGCCCCAGGCAAAGGTAAAAGGGATCCGCCGCCCGATGGCCATGTCCGGCGGCCGTCCAAGAAAGACCGGGACAGGCTCAAGGCCTTAGGCCTCTGGAACCCTGGCGGCAAGGCCAAAGGCAAGGGTGAGCCCGCCAAAGGCCAGGGCAAAGCCAGAGAGCCTGACCCACCGCGCTATCGGGGGGACTGGGGCCGTGAGCACGACCCACCGCAACACCGGGGGTACAGGGACAGGGAGCCCGACCCACCGCATTACCGGGGGCACAGGGACAGAGAGCCCGACCCACCGCACCGACGGGGGGACAGAGACCGAGAGCCCGACCCACCGCGCTACCGGGGGGAGCGACACCGAGAGCCGGAACCACCGCGCCAACGGGGGGAGGGCAAAGGCCAGGGCAGCGAGAGCGAGCCTGCCCCGCCGCAAAACCGGGGGGAAGGCCGCGGTGACCATAGGGAGCCACACCTGTCACCCCAGTCCTCGCCTAACAAAGGGAGTGAAAGCGGCACAGAGCGGAGCCGCACGCCCCCGGCTAGGCAGGAACCTGCCCGAGAATCCGAGGCGAAACCAGCCGATGCCGAGGCTGAGTTGACAGACGAAGCCACAAGCCCGGCGGAGGCAGTGAAAGAGGAGTCCTCGGATTCCAAAGAATCGTCCCCAAAAGGGGCCGCGGCCTCTTCGGTGGCAAAGGAGGGGGGCTCGACCCACCCGGGTCAAGAGCAGAGCCAGCCCTCGGCCACACAAGGGGGCCCGACCCACCCTGGCGAGGCCCCAAGTGAACCAGCAGGCCAAAAGGGGAGTCCGACTCACCCAAAAAGTGAGGAGGGCCCTTCTAGGCCAACATGGCCGGTGGAAGTGGGGGACACACCCCTGATCCTCTTCACGCCACATGTGAAGAGGTCTCACAACACTATCCACTGGCTTGCTCAGGTTGGGGACTCGCTAGCCCTACGGGGTTTCAGCGACTGCTATGCCCTCCTTGGAATAGGGGGCAGCCGGGCAACCTTCGAATGCCCAGGAAATCCCGCCTTGTGCTGGAAACTTACTTCCAGCGAGCAGGAGCCAAACCGCCGATCTGGCCATGGGCCAGAGAGTCGCCTAGGGCAAGTCATCCCCGGGATATGCGCAAGCAAGACCCGGGAGGTGGGCCCTGGAATCCTCCAGATTGGTACATGGGGCAAGGTGCCTGTGACCATTTTGGAGGTGGAACGGCTAAGCCCAATGTACCCAGAACCATCCAGTGCAAGGGTTTTGCACATGGCGATGGTTATTCTGGGGGTCAGTTGTGCGGGCATGCTGTGCCGCGATTTAAATCGTGGCAACTGGGGCATCCGAAAGATGTCGCCAAATTCCTGCGTGGAGGAGATCGTTGTCATCGACGCTGCAGATTGGGAGCCGCAATCTGCACCACCAGGCTTTCCTCCAAGGAGGAAGCTTGAAAGTTGGTGGAACTGGATCCACCACAGTGCTCCCGCCACGGCGGACTGGTTGAGGGTGCAAGTGGAATCCCTTCACCGAGACCACCGGGCATTGGCTCGCACCTTGGTGGAGGAACTCAGCAGGAGCGATGCTGGGCAGTGGGTGGTGGCTTCACTCCATGCTCAGCGCATCCTCTGCTTTTCCCCCAGGGATGAGATCTGTTTGCTCAGGTCGCGAGCCAATGTCTTCACCAGCGGAGACTGGGATCTCCTCAGCCTCAAAGACCCACCTCAAGAAGGGGGCTGAGGGAGGTGGTCAAAGCCAGCAGAGCCCGCCTAGGCAGGGGGCACAAGGAGGTGAACAGCTGAGGCCATGGCCGGCTTCCTTTCCTCACCGGCACCGGGAGGCACAGGGCCAATCCTGAGGCTGCTTCAACCTCGCCAGCAAAAGCCTGGGAGGAGGGCTAGACTAGGTCCGAAGTAGCTCCTCCGGCAACCTCCCAACGGAGATTGGGAGGAACGGGGGATAGGAGTAGGCCTAGCGGAGGACGCCTTAAACAAGGCTGCCCTCCTCCTTTTGCTGTCAGAGTACAGCCCAGACCGAACTTGCCGCTACGGCGGCCGCGACTCAGAGCGCAAGACCGAGAAAAGTTTGCTCCTTGGCTCAAGTTTGCTCCTGGCTCAAGATTTCGGCTCAGACTTTCACTGCCGACGTGGCGCAGCCTGGAGTCCTTGCTTTGTCTAAAGGCTCGACCAGGCCCCAAAACCAATCGTGTAAGCTTCGTAGGCCAGACAGCTGGCGAGGGTTTGGGGCGGGCGGCCGGTAGGCTGGCAAGTGCACAAGCTGCTTGTGTGCCACTTAACACACAGCTTGCAACACTCTTGAAACTTGCGTGCTCTCAAACCAATCCTTGTTTGTGCAGTTTTCTTGGATTTTGGGCCTTGCAAAAACGCCCGGTTTTACTTGAGCAAAGTACAGGTAGCAAAGTTTCTTGAGAGCAGCTGTGCTGCAGTCGAAATCGGAGATGCCAGCATCAAGACCGTACACCGTGTGCAAGTGCGGCTCGTGGGTCTACACTGACCGAATCGGGCCAGGAAAGCTGGAGGCGTGCCGCGCTTGTGGCAAGAAGTGGCCGGGAGTCCCGAAGCAGGCTCGTACCGAGCAGGAGGCGCCGAGTCGTGTGTGGAAACCTGGGGGCTTCACTGCAAGAGCGCGTCAGCCGAGGCGTAAGGAAGAGGGTGCTGTGTCCAAGGCGCTTTTGTCGCTCTGGGCCAAGTTTACCCCGGAAGTCCAGAAGGAGTTGATGGGTGCGGGCTTCCAAGGGCCTGATGCCCAGCCAAAGGAGGATCCGCTTCTTACTCTCTTGAAGGCACATGAAAACGCCTTGCCCCAGGAGGTGCAGGATGCATTGCATGCAAGCGAGCCCAAGGAGACACCAGAACAGGCGGCGGCCAGTGCGTCGCGTGAGTATAAGTCTTGCACTGTGAAGCTGCGTGATCTAGGGCAGAAGAAGGTTCAGCTGCAGGCCCGCATCGATGACACAAAGGCCAAGCTGCGTGAGCAGTTGGAAGGAATGAAGGACCTCCTGGGTCAGATTGCTGAGGCCCAGAAGGAGGTAGATAAAGTGGCTGAGCAATTCAAGAGCGCGGTGTTGGAAGAGCCTAAGGAGGACCCAGGTTCTGATACCACCTTGGCTCAGCTGATTGCAGATGCTGGCATCACATTGACGCAAGAGCAGCTTGATAAGATCAAGGCTGTTGAGGAGGGCCACGCCATTAAGAAGCGCAAGCATGACGCTCCAGGTCCTGAGGCCCCGGTGCAGGTGCCCCCAGGTCTGGGTCAGGTTACTAATCCACCCTCGTCGGGGGGACAGCAGTCAATGCAGGGTTAGGGTTCTGGGATTAGGGTTCTTGGCTTCGGTGGTTCACTGGGTGCCTCTTCACCTTTCGGTCATAGCCGTCGTTTCCTTGTTGGAGATTGCAACGTGGAGTCAGCCCAGTTTCTCAGTCGAAGCGAGGCCCTGGAATCCCACCCTCAGGCTAGGCATGAGAGTCATCGCATTGTGCAGTCGGAGCAGTCCGTTGTGCGAAGGCCTCAGCTTTGTTATGTGCAGTCTGCAAGCTCTGCCACAGCATGTTTGGGATGTGCTCTTCCCTTGTATTATGACACACTTTTGCCGATTCATCGTATTGATCGCAACGACAAATTTGTTGAATCCGTTTCGCTTTGCACCGATTGTCGCCAGGCGGCGAACAGCCGTGGAGGTCGGCAATGCGGGAGCGCTGCTGCTTCCTGCAGTTTTGTGCGCCCAGCTGTGGCCACAGCCGTGCAAGGATGGGTTAGGGAGTCTTTGGACTTTGGTAAAGGTTGGGAGTGCAGTGCAGTGCAGCCGGCATGTCCAGAACTGTGTTGTGCTTGCTGTCATGTGAGAGTGCTGGCCTCCTTTCCATGCCCGGGTCCCCGCATGCTGCCCCTTTGCCCTCATTGCCTTCCTGAAGAGGCCATGTGTTTCAAGATGCGACGGGCAGCTTTGCTTGATCCTTATGTGCCTTCAGGTGAACCTGTGCACATTGGCTTTAATATCAGCATTCCTGCCAGTAGGCCTTCATGCAAGTTGGTGTGCGGGGTTCCTTGGGTCAGAGCCTTCCCTTGGATGTGGGCCGAAGGTAGGGGCAGCGAAGAGACATGTTTTTCAATTCCAGGCCCGAACCCGTGTGTTTCCCTGTCCTTCCAGGGCCCGAACCCCAATTTGCAGCTGATTGGAAGGCCACTCCTTGAGACCTGCGACGCCTCAAGGCCCGAAATTCACTGTGACGTGGGACTGCAGCCCACATCTTCGCTGCAAAGGGGCACTGGAAGCATGGTAATGTTTTCATTTGCATTCCCTAACCCGTGTGCTTCCTCGTTTCCTGAGGACCCTAACCCCAATTTGCAACGCGTGGACTTGGAGGCACTTCCCAGTCCCATTGAGGCAGCAGGTAAGTGCATGTGTTGTGGACAGGCGCCGAGCTTGGGGCTCACGCCGAGCCAGGAGGTCAAAGACTTTGTACATGCGTGCCGCATGGCTCTCTTGACGGGACATCGAGAGCAGCTCCTCACTGCCATGAGTGATGTTATGAGCTATTGCCCAGACTGCTTGTGTCAGTGGGCAGCCGCCCATCGCACAGACCGGCAGCCCCTTGCTGTTCGTGCCTCATTGTCCGGGCCGGCCTACTTCTTTGCTTGTGAGGAGGAACAGGACTTTGATGTGCAAGATGAAGTTTTCAGTGTGCCCTTGATTACTCATGTGTCACAGGCGCAAGCTGTTGCTGGGTTCTTTGATGGTGTGCGGACTGGAGTCCCGTTTTCACGCAGGGCCCGGCGGCGATACAACCGCAGACTTCGCCTTGCATCAATAGAGCCCCTTCGGGGAGCCCCCAAGACCCCGGCGGAGGAGGTTATGACCGGGAGTTGGACGTATTCTCAGGAGGAGGTTGGCCGCTGGCCAGGGGGTCTTGGGGGACCGGGGTATGATGAGCTTTCGCCAGACTTGTTGGATCCCAGCACAGCGCGCGATGTTCAACGGCGGCCGCAGGAATTTGGCACGGTGCGGCCTTCGAAATTTCCTTCAGGGCTCTTAGCCACGAAAGCCCTGGTCTATGCTCCCCTGTGAGGAGCCCCAAGGACTTGGGCCCATTTTTTCGGTTGCAGGCCCAAAACGAGGTTCTGAGATCCCAAATGGGCCGCCAGAGGGGTCCGCAAAACCTGAGATGCCACCCGATGTGCGCCCTGTTGGCGGCACTCGGGAACATGACCAACATCGTGCACTTCTCTCCGTTAAGCAGGCTGTCATTGCCGGTGCGGAAGGAGCCCTGCTTGAGGTTGTGGAGGCGATGGAGCAGCATGGTTGCATGCAGGAGGGCACTTTCGTTTGGAGGGCTGCTGAGCTAGCAGTGGAGACCCACGAAGATGTGCCTAGGCATGTGGCTTGTTGGGCAATTGAGGATGCGCTTGCAAATTTGACCTGTCCCAAAGTGCGGCCTGACGTGCATGTGATCAGTGCTAACATCACTGCCTGGAGAAAGGACTTGTGCTCTTGGATTGCTCAACACAAGGCGGCCGTTCTGCTGCTGCAGGAAACACATCTTTCGCCAGACCAGCCTGACTTGATTGAGGCTCAGCTTGGGTTTCATGGTTATAATGTTTTTAGCGTCCCGGCCCATCCCACCGGCAAAGGTGGCACATCAGGTGGTCTAGCCATCTGTTTTCGCAAGCACTTGAACATGAGGCGTGTGCATCACTTTGTCCGGGCGGGGGTTGGTTTTCAGGTGGCGGCCCTCAGGTTGAAAGATGCCGATTGCTATTTTGTGAATGTTTACCTGAAGGCCGGTGAAGGTTTCCAGGGCAGCCACAATGCGCCAATCATTGCACATTTGATCCCTTTCCTTCGTTCGGTCCGTGGCCTCTTTTTTGTGGCTGGTGATTTCAACGAAGATTTTGAGGTCATTGCTGCCACCAGTCTTGAGCAGGAGGCCAAAGGCCGGTGGATCAGTTCTGGTGAGTCCACATGTGCTGGGGGTGGCAATATCGACTATGGCTTGATGTCGCCCTCGCTGGCCTCGGCCGTTTCGCTTTCGATTGATTGGGTCACTCCTTTTGCTCCCCATGCAGCCCTGCACTGGTCTCTGCAGGTTCAGCATCTGGATGTTAAGCTACCCCAGCTTGTGCCTTTTAAACCCATGCCTCTAAGGCCTCAGCCCTTCCACCTTAGGCTGACCAATGATGCTCAAGGTGAGCAGGCTGCCACGGCTTGCCATGGTAGTTCTGTGCACCTTTTGGGGGTTGAGGTTTCCAATGAGGGTCTTTCTTCCCTTTTCGCCAGCCTCAGCCGTGATATTGAGCTGTCAGTTTATGGCGACTGCCAGGGCCGTGGAGCCCGAGTTTCGTGCTGCCGTAAGCCCTTGATGTTGCAGACGGCGCCAGATTCTGGTTGGGGAGGCGCCCATGTCTCCTTTTGGAATCGGGTTATTGTTTGGCTTGAAGCTTGCTCCCGTCACTTTCAGGTCAGCCCCTTTGCAAAGAGGGCTGTGCATTGTTTTGCGGATCACTGGCATGGCAGTGAGGAGGCTGCCTTGACCTTCCATTCTGAGCTTCAGGCTTTTATTGATGAAGGCTGCCATGATCTTTGCCGTGGTTTGCTTGATGTTGCTAAGGCGCAAAAACAATACTTTGTTAAGCAGTGGCAACAGAGCAAAAGTGTCTCTTATGAGAAATGGCTCCGTCAGGCCACGTCCAAGGGCATGCGTCCCTTGTTCAAAAGTGTGCGGGCAGAGGAGGTCATCACCATTCGGCCGTTTCTTGAAGCGCCCGTCCAGGAGCGCATTTATTTGCGGTGGCGCCAATGGTTTGACTTGTGGTCGCACCTGGCTGGGGTGGACCAGGACCTTCTTGCGACGCTCAGGGTAGCAGCTGTGGAGCAGGCCCATAACATTGCGCCAATGCCTCTTGACAAGGCTGTTGCCTTCTTTAAGAAATTGCCCTCCAAGGCGCCGGGCTTGGACGGGTGGACGTGTGAGGTTCTCCGTAATCTCAGCGCCGAGGCAGTTCAGGCCATTCTTGACTTTTTGCACCATTGCGAGAAACGGGCCGCGTGGCCGGATCAGCTGATTTTCGCGCTTATAGCGCTTTTACCCAAATCTGAAAAACGGGAACGTCCCATTGCCCTTCTCCATGTCTTGTATCGGGCTTGGGCAAAATTGAGGTGGCCGCTGGTGTCTGCATGGCAATCTGCGTATGCCCGGCGGGCTCACTGGGACAAGGCACTGCCTGGTGGCCAGGTTTTGGATGTGGCCTTGGCCAGGCTGATGTTGGGCGAAACAACCCGTCGGTGCAGGCATCACCTGATAACACTGTTTCTTGATATGGAAACCTTTTATGACCGATGCTTGTTTAATGATGTCATTAGTTCGGGTCTTACCCTTGCTTACCCGCCCTTGATTTTGCACCAGGCCATGCTCACTTACATGGGTCCCAGGTTTGTGCAGTCCGAAGGCGCCCTCTGCCCGCCTATATGGCCGGGCAGGGGAGTCCTGGCAGGATGTCCTGCGGCACCTTCGGTGTCCAAACTTGTTATACACCCGGTTGCCGCCAAACTCGCCTCTAAGAAGAGTGCCTCCAACTTAGATATTTGGATAGATGACCTGTCCTTGGATACGGTTCATAAATCACCGCTTCAGGTTGCTAGTGATAGCCTCAAGCTTTTTCGAGGACTGAGACAGGACTTGGAGTCCAAAGGGGCCCAGGTTTCGCTTTCCAAAACTTGCTTTGTGACTTCGTCCACTGAGGCTGCCAAAGCTCTTGGCAAAATTCTTGATGCCTCGGATCCGCAGGTTAAGCCGATGAACCGTGATCTCGGGATCACCTCGGCGGGTGGACGCAGGCGGGTGCTGGGCTTGGCAGAGAGCCGCAGGAAAAAGGCGGCAGGGCGATCGCGCAAGCTCAACAAGCTTGCTGTGCCGGGGCGAGCACACCGTTTACGGATCGTTCGCGCATCCCTGTGTTCGGCAGGCCTGTGGGGCCATCAGGCTCAGGGGGTGAGCCCTAAGAGGCGAAAGTTTTATCGCACCCTTGTTGCAAAGCATTTAGGGCGTCACAAACTGGGGTGCATGGATCTTACTTTCATTGTTAACCGCCGCCGCTGTGAGGACCCTCATCTGACGCTGCTTCGGCAACATGTACGTGCAGTTGCTAGGGTCTTTCGCCGTTGGGATGCTTGTGATCAGGATAAGTTTCGGTCTACTTGGGCCGACATTTGGTTATGGCTCATGGCTTCCAAGCATCCTTGGAAAAAGGTCAATGGGCCCTTGGCGGCTCTCATGGCCTACCTGCACGAGTTGGGTGTGCAGGCTCCTCAGGCTCACCGTTGGAGCAGAGATGGCAGCATCTTGACCATTGATTGGTCTAGTCCCGATGCCACTCGCCGTGTGTGGCACTGGCTCCTACCAGTTTGGGAAGATGTTCGCTTGCAGCGAGTCTCCTTGAATGATGGGTGCCAAAATTTGAGAGGTGGCCTGGATGCCACTGTTCCTGAAAGACTGCAGAAAAGGAAGTTTTTCAACAAAAACATGACTGTGAATCTTCAGGCTCTTTGGCAGGGTGCCCTAGTGAGCAGGTCTAAACAAGGTTGGTGCACCAGGTGTCATTGTCCGCTGGATTTGCAACATGTTTTGTGGGATTGCCCTTTCATTGCCCAGCCTTTCCCTGCGCCTCAGCACTTTCGTGCGGCCCGCCAGCAGTTTCCGTGGCCTAGCCTTTGGCTCCGAGGTTTGGTTCCGCAAGAGGCCACGGCGTTACTGAGGGATAAGAGTGCTGAGGGTTATGTGTTTGAAGGGCTTTGGCGCCACCGGCAGGTCATACCTAGTGACTCGTTGGTTTTTGCGTCCGATGCTTCAGGGGGCCCGGGAGCTCGTGATCACAGGTCGGCTTGTGTAACTTGGGCCCTGGCTGCTTACAGGTTGGAGCCTGAAGGTCCCAAACGAGTGGCTAGCATCACCTGCGTACCGGTGCAGCCCCTGACGGTTGCGGCAGCCGAGCAGCAGGCGGCTTTTGAGTTGTTTGGTCGGGTGTCTGGCTCCTTTGATGTTACGGTGGATTGCAAGGCCGTCACTCATGTTGTTGCCAAGCAATCGCCTCCCCATGAAGGGCCCGTGCCTTGGGGTGAGTGCTGGGACGACAGATCAAGAGCTGCTGTTACTTGGGTTCCAAGTCATAAGAGTGCTGCCTTTTTCGCTGAGCGCAACCTTGATGAATGGAGACGGCTCATCAACGAGGACGTCGATGCCCTTTGCGGGGCTAGGTCCGCCGAGGTTTATTCTTCAGCGTGCAGGCCGGATTTGAAAACCATTGACAGGCTTTGCGAGGATGTTTGTTTACATCTCGCTAAAAAAGTGGGGTTTATCCTTAAGCATAAGAGTGACAAAGGTTTTCCTTGGGTGATGCAGCGCGCCAGCCAAGCATCGCAATCCCAACCTTGTTCCTCCCGTGTTATTGGGGGTGATAAGTTTTTGAAGCCTAAAAACCCCACTGCCTCCAAGCCGAACAAAAAGCAACGGCTCAAAGATATGCTTGCAAGCCCTGATCCTGCCTTGGGTCATGTTTGGCGTGACTGTGAGTCCAAAGCTGTGAACAATTTTTCCATTCAGTGCACTGTTTGCAATTTGTACTTGGAGCAGTGTAACAGCCAAGACGTCTTTGATCGCAAGGCTTCCAACCCCTGCCTTGATATCGCTGCCAGTTTGCCATCCGCTTGGCAAGTGCATGAGACTCATGACATGGCCAATAAGGGTTCTTTCTTCACGTGCACTAAGTGTTTGGCCATTGTTAAGATTGCTGCTACTTCGACTTCGTCCGTGCTGCAGGCTCCTTGTAAAGGCCTTGGTCGTAAGATGAATTCGAAGACTCAAGCGAGGTCGATGGCCAATGTTGAGGGCTCCAAAAACCGCACGATTGAGGCATCCTTGCAGGGGCGGCAGCCCCAGGTTGCAGCCGTTGGTGTGGCTATGGAACCTCGGGCCAAAGCTGGTCCCAAGGTTAAGGCTAAACCCAAGTGTAAACCCAAATCCCAGTGCAAGGACTCCTCCAAACAAACCCGACTGTCCTTTGCGTAGGCTAGGGTTTGCGCGGGGTGGGTTGGGGCAGGTAAGGTTGGTAGTTTAGTGCTGCCGTGCTGGTGTGCGCTCGCTGCTGCACCCATTTTCTGCACTTATGCCGAGCCTTTTCAAACCTATGTCTTAAACTGCAATCAGGTGTGCGCCCTGTTGGCTGCACCCTGAGCCGGTGTGCGCCTGTTGGCTGCGCCTGCATACTGAGAGCGCCAAACTGTTGGTGCAATGCCGCAACAGCACTTGCTGCCTGGTTGCCCTGAACAAACCTGAAGCGATCGTTCCAGGTGAGCGCTGTTCTGGCAGCTCCCGGAATTTGGCCATTTTCGGTTGTCTTCAGTTTGGTTTCTTTCTTCAGTGGTTCTGGGCTGTTTAGTTGGCCGGTTTCCCCTTGTGTGGTTTAAGTTAGGCGCTTTGGTCCTTTACCCTGCCGGTGTGCGCTTGAAGCTGCACCCGAAAACTTGAAGCGATCCGTGAGGCCAAGCTTGTGGCCAGTTTAGAGCATGCTCCCACTCTTGTGGGAATTGCGATAGCATATGCCACTTGGCAGCTTTTGTGGGGGCTCCTGGTAAGACTTGTCTGGTGCTGTGAGCACTGTGGCATTTGCGAATCCCTGCATAGGGTTTTCTTGACCCTCTAAGCTGTGGCCTTTGGTTATAATGTCATGTCCCTCAGTGGTTGGGAAATTTCCTCAGGGCTCTTAGCCAAGAAAAATGGGCCCAGGTCTGTATTCCCTTGTGTGGAGCCCAAGGACCTAGGCCCATTTTTTCGGTTTCAGGCCCAAAATGAGCTTCAAGATCCCAACAGGAAAGTTAGCATCAGTGGTGAGGGCACTTGCGTGTTCACACCACTCTGGTTGGAGTCTAGGCTTCCTCTAAAGATGATTGGATTCTTGATGTACTATGCCTACTGTGCCAGGCGCCTTCAAGACACACCTCGTCAGTTCATATGATCATGGCCACTGCAGGCTGGTGGTGTGGGCACTTTCAGTGTTCACACGACCTCCTGCTGCGCTGTGTACAGTCGTCGGTAGCTCTGTAGGTTAGGTTGTACAAAGTGTACGAAGGCTGCTGCTGCTGGTCTACGGGGCTACCTTTCGCTTCTTTGACGACGGTTTTCTTGTACTGCCTTCAACTTGAGGTCTCAAGCACTTGTGAAGGCCAATTGAGCTTTGTGAGGGGCATACGGTGGCTTGTGTGCATGACCCGTTGAATACGTCACTCCCACCAATGCCTCTGCTGCGTGGTCCAACCTGGCTGGCTTGCGTGCAACAGCAAGACTTCGCGGCTTTCGGGCTGCGTAGTTTTGCTTCCGTAGCTAGGCTGTCAGATCCGTAGCTTTACTAGTAGCTTTGCTTAGCTTGTACAGTTTGGCCTAGGAGCCGCGCGCATCGTCCGACGCTCGGGAAGAAAAGTTTGCTCCTTTTAGGTGTGCCCTTGAGTACCGACATGCTTGTTTTGCGCATGAGAAAGGGTTTCATCCTTTTTGCCTTGAACTGTTTTGTTTTGGAAGCTTGAACAGGCATTTGCATGGCTAACACATGTTTTGGCATGTTTGCAGTTGCGTTGAAGACCATGATGAGCGTTTACAGCACTAGAGATGCTTTTGGGCATCCTTGAAGAAGTGCGTGTTGCTCTGACTGCACTGTTGCTGTTTTCCGCCGACCCTCGCTTCGCTCGTGCCGGTAGGAACAGGCCAAGGGACAGAGTGGCTGTGCACTGCTGTTTGAGTGAGTACAGAAGTCCTGAGAAGTGTTAGGACAGTTGCATGTCATTCCTCCTTTGTTTAGCAAAGTTGAGACGGAATTTGCTGCGCGAGACTCCGCAAGAGACCTTGCTGAACACTTCGGTGTTTGGCTCAAGCGTGGAGTGAAAAGAGACTTGCTCTGCGTTTTTCACACGGTCGGCCAAGTACCTCATCGAATGTAGGAAAACCTTCTTACAGTGTAGCATTTGGAGCCTGCGTGTATGCAGTTGCAGCGCAGAGGCGAGTAGTCTCACTTGTGGACTTGCTCTGCGCGACTGAGACAAGCTCAAGAAGGATCAGTGAAGGTCCGCGCCCGGCTGTGAGAGTAGAGCCAAACGATCCGGATCGTCGAGTTGAGAACTGACATTCAGCAGTGGAATGTCGGATTGGAAGGGACCTGGAGGAAGTATCACAGTTTGATTTTTTTCACAGACTATGCTTGGACATAATTACCAGGTTTTAGTTTTGCCAAAATAAAGCGTATTCCCATAAAAATGGCTCTCAGAGGTTGCTGCATCCGAATGACCACTCTCCGCAAGTGTTGCAACTACAATCGCGCTGCGCAAGCACCATAAGTAAGATCAGCATCAATATCATTGCATGCTGTTCTGCTGCTGCTCTGTGCAGAAGCAACGGCTCCGCAACTATTCGACCTGCAGCACCTGCTATCCCCACAGTAGAAATCCTTATTGTACTCCTGTAACTGCTGTTGCAATCAGCAGCTCTTTCAGCTAATTACGCAAAACTTCTAACTGAGTCTAGGATCTACGGTTTTGAGCTAACGGCTGTAGGGTCCTCCAAAGGTCAGTATTACCAAAAAATCTGGAATGGGCAGCAGCTACCTTTCTTTCTGTAGGATGGTGATAGATATCGTGGTGTATTTGGTTGGGGCGAATAGGGGAATTCGAGAAAAGTATTTGATAGCGTTGGTACGCTTGCGTCATGGTCAATTCGGCCCAATGTGTGCGAGAGTGGCCAGATCTTTTCCCTATGGAGGCGTCTGTAGGCATGTGCTGTTTGGTAGGTGGAGATGTGTTCGATTGAATCTGCATGTCTGAGGATATGTCCGAGATAAGAGATCCGGGATGAGATGATATTCTGTGATGGAGATAGAAGTTTGGGGGCGTACTCATAGGCAAGCTGGGATAAATATTCGTTGGAGCATTCTGCCTCCGATGGTTCCAAGACTTTATGATAAAAGGAACTTTTGATGTTGAAGATCTGTCTAAGGACCTTGTAGTGTAGCTTGTTCAGTTTAGTGAGGTCAGGTTGTGAATACATCTGCGATTCCGAGCCATACAGAAGGATGGCCAACACGATCTGGGAATGAACTAGCAGCTTTCGCTTAATGGTTATGGAGGGGTGCCTAAAGAAGTCATGTAGACATTTGGCCGCGTGCGAGGCCTGCGCATATCGCTTTTTAGCGTCCGCTTTGGCGGCTGAGTTATGAGTTAGAACAGCTCCTAAGTAATCGGCGTGGGGTTTAGGATCTATGCGGAGTTCTTGGGGTAGCTGTGGGTTGCTTCTCATGCAACAGAAGTCACATTGGCAAGGGTGGGTTGTGGTATCGGTCAGGTAGATGGGCAAATCAGTGTTGATACAGAGAAGCTGGCACTTCTCGTGATTCAAGAACATGCCCCTTTTGTAAGAGTGGGCTTGTAATGTGTGAAGAAAACGGTGTAGGGACAGTCTCGTGCGAGATAATAAAACTGTATCGTCGGCGTACTCTATATCTGTAAGGCGAAAATCGGTAGTAAGTACTGAAGGTCGGGGGCCATACTCTGCCACGTACGCTGTGTACGTATCATGAAAAAGCACTGAAAGGGTAATGATAAACAAATACGGCGATAAGGGGCATCCCTGGCGGATGCCCTGGGCGAAGGCTTGCGGGCGGGACGTATAGCCCGCGTCCTTCACTCGAAAATGACAGTCTTCGTAGATTGACAGTACCGGATTAATGAATGTATCGGGGAGACCTACTCGCTGCAGTGCGTTGCGCAACGCTGGGTGGGAGACTGAGTCAAAAGCTTGTGACCAATCAAGGAACAGAGCATAGAAGGATTCCTGGTGTCGCTCATGTAACTCAAGCAATCGTCGAAGGACGAATAAAGGCGTAGAGGTGGATTTGCCGGTTCTAAAACCGAACTGAACCGGCGAAATACGGTCATCAATAGCAGTTTTTAATCTGTCATGGAGAAGACAAGCATACAACTTGTAAACCGTGTTGATCAATGAGATGGGGCGGTAGCTTGTAGGGAGAGTGGGGTCTTTCTTTTTACCCTTAAAGATCATCACTATGTCTGCCACCTTCCAGGATTTAGGCGAGATTGCCTGCGTAAAGGTTTTGTTAAAGTGCGCCAGTAGCGCAACATGAACCGATCTAGGCGCGAACTTCCAAATTTCCGCCGGCAATTGATCGGGGCCAGGGGCTTTGCGATTCTTGAGGCGCGCCAGCGCCCTTAATAATTCGGGTTCCGTAAATGGACTGGTGTCAATGGGAGCCGGGGGGAAAATAGGTTCGGAAGGGAGTTCTGGGAGGTTTCTGTGATTCCAGACTTTAGTGGCTAAATGGCTAGCCAAGACATCGGGTTTAGCGGCTTTGGTGGACATCTGGCCATTAGGTTTGCGAATTCCTTGGGTTCTTGGTGTGTAGTCCTTACGCAGAAATTTGAGAGTGGACCATTGCTTTGAGGGGGGGCCTTTAGAGTCTTGGAGCAGGTTATCGCACAGGTGTTGTTTTTTGTCTTTACGGGCACGTCGTTTGATGGCTTTTCGGAGCTTTTGCAAAGCTTCGTGGTCATCCGGGGAGGTCGAGGAAATGCGATCGATGAGTCGTTTGGTCGGTTCCGATAAGTATTCTTTATGGTAGGTGCGTTCCTGTTTAGTGCGGGGCGCTATCTTCAGCGCAGCTTCCTGGAGCGCTGTGGCTTGTTCTTCCACCGAAAGCTTCTCGAATAGGGGTGGGGTGGAAAGACGTATGGTATCGCTCAAAGGTTGTCGGGGAGGGTAGGAATGCCTCCCGATTGTGGAGGAGGAGGTAACGCCTTTCTTGGCTAAGGTGTCGGCGCGTTCGTTTCCGTCGTGGCCCGAATGTCCTTTGATTTTCATTAGCGATACGGTGATACTGGAGAGAAGGTGGTCCAGGAGGATGCGTAGTTTGGTTAAGAGTTGAAGGTGTTGCGTGGGTATGGAAAGGCCATGGAGAAAATCGTAAGCGAGCTGGGAATCGGTATAAACGTTAAGAGCAGAAATCGAGAGAT